AGATGTTTTGGAGTAACAAATTTCTATAATTGTGTCAGTTATTCGAAACAGTTAAAAAATGTTTAAACAAGTATTTCCTTAGAATTAACTTAACCAAAACCCTTAGATCCTTAGAATTAACCCAAACCTATTTTCCTCATGTTAATGAAAGTTAAGGTGCCATAAAAGGTAAAGGATTTTCTAATGGGATGATACATTGAATCAAATTTAAAAGAGCATTTGAACTCTCACTCAGATCATCATAACCCGTTACTTCTCCAGATCACAACTTTGCGTTTCTTTAAAAAAGCTCAAGTTTACATTCTTTCAACATTGTGTGGACTCAACAAGTGAAGAAACTTGACCATCAAAAGCGTCGCTTGTTTGCAGTTTCAGCTTTAAAGCGCCTTATTAATTAAATGAATCCAAAGTTGCTTTTCAACAAAATCGTGTATTCTGATGAAGCACATTTTTACGATTAATCAAAATTGTCGTTTTTGGTGTGAAAAGAATTCGCAACAGGTCTGTGAGAACAAACCTCGAACCACTGGTGAGTTGAAATTAAATCGCTGCATTGTTGAAAATAGAGCCGATTTATCGAATCTGCTTCTGTAGTCCAAGCCGAGAAGGACGAGAAGGTTGAATTATGTGTTATTCAGAACAAAAAGGACTACATTTTTGGATATCAGCCTTATTGGAAAACCCTTTATTATTTGGGATGTTAATTTATTATGTTAATGTTATGTATTGTTTGTTAATTTGTTATTTTATAAAGTCGTTTCTTATGTTCTCTAAATTGCAGGTTCGGAATGCACGGCACGACAATGTTGGAGTAATGTATCTTTCAGTTTGAATTGTATATTGCAAATATCGCATTGCAGAGGACCTTCCTCGGAATGAGTTTTCAAATGATCTTTATAGAAACGTTCAATAACAAACGTTTTATCGCATATGCTGCAGGTGTATTCCGTTAGAATCATATGATTATTTCGATGCTTAACCAGTTGGTATCTTTTCTTAAATTTAGAACTGCAAATATCACATGCATAAGGGCGTTGGTCCGAATGTGTTTTCATATGAAAAAATAATTCCGAATGTAAGACAAAGGTTTTATTGCAAATGTCACAGTTGAATTGTCTTTTTTTCGTGTGCGTGTTATGATGAATTGTTAATTGCCTGATTCGTTTAAATTTTAAACCGCAAATATCGCATTCGAAAGGGTGATTTTCTGAATGTCTGGCCAAATGAACATCTAAGTTTGATTTATCAGCAAAAAATGCCCAACAAAAATTGCACTTATATTTTTTTAGTTTAGTCCTCGCAGCTTGTGGATCTGTGGTTTGAGTGCTACTTAGATTACTGGTTAGTTCGTCTTCAGTTTTTATCAGCACCGGCAATTCTTCCTCTTCAGCTGTAATTTTCCCACCCTGCGCGTGACACTCATTTAAATGCATATTTAACTTTGACTTATTTATAAAACATCTCGAGCAAATATTACAAGAGTGTTGATTATTTATTTGAGCAGCATTCGCAGCTTGTTCATGTGCGGTTTCACTGCTACTCAGATTACTACTGGCTTCGTCTTCAGTTTTTACCCGCACAAACAAGTCCTGCTCTTCAATTTTAATTTTCCCAACTTCTGCATGACACTCATTTAAATGAATGTTAAAGTTTGACTTATTTATAAAACAAATCGAGCAAATACTACAGTAATGTTGATTTACTTGAGCAGCATTCGCAGCTTGTTCATATGTAGACTCACTACTGGCTTCGTCTTCAATTTTTACCAGGCCGGACAAGTCCTGTTCTTCAATTTTAATTTCTTCCTTTACTTGCATATAAAAGTTCGGCTGCATTCCAACGCAATATCTACAAATAAAAATTCAAAATCAGCGAAACGATTGAAGACTTAATTCTGATCTTGATGATGGGGCAAATATTTCTTCAGGTCTGTTTCAATATTTACATAATAATAATAATGAAACACCAGCTTATATTTCTTAAAAGTTTTATTAATTTTGATACCATTTTATGTTTAATCCTCAGTAAATATGTGTCGGCTACAAATAACATACTTTAATTTATTGTAAATGTATAACTAAATAGAAAAAATATAATTCAAACGAAATGTAAAAACTAAAACGGTATCCTTTTTCCCCAAGGTCTTGATCCATATGATTTTATGATATTTGGAAATTTGATAATACCATAATTTAGAAATAATACAAAAAGAACATTTTTGCGATGCAAATAGCAGATAATGCAGGAAGTAAAAGCACTAATTGCGTTCCTTAAAATCATCTAGTAACAAGTAACGCAGATTATAACAGTCATACATAGGTACTACGCCGATACTTTCACAGTCTTTTTATCAATGTTTTATGATTTATTCGAATTTTTTTGCTCAATTTGATTTTGCTTGATTCGTTGCACGGTATGTGCGTTATTAGCATGTGGGCGAAATCTACGTCTCTTTTTTAAACTTTTATTGCAAATATTACTACAAATATAGACTACCTAAAATGCCACAGTCTATTTGCAGATTGTCTAAATTATTCTGCAAAGCGAGAAGAAGCAAATAATTTGCAAATTTTCGGATTTTGTAGAGCGCCGGTAACATCGGCATGTGTTTGTTTACTTTATTACTTGTTTTAAAAATAGCGAAATACTAACCCCTTTATCAGTCTTATTCTTATTTGACGATTTTTATATCATTTCAGATTTTTTTCGGTAATGAGGACAAATCGGTAATCCGAACACACCGGGTGCATTCAATTGACCGGATTAAAGATGTTCCATATTTTCAATTCTATACAGGGTGGCCATTTTCTGAATCTTTGTACTTCGGTAACTTCTACATTTATAAAGATAAAGAATCCGTTAGATGGCAAAATTGGGCAGAATTCGATTGCCTATTCATTACTGTTTTTAAAATTTGGCTATCCGACTTGGTTCCTGAAATATCCTGAAAATGCAAGAAATCAACACTTTTTTAATTATCATATAATTCGTAAACTGTTTAAGTTATAAAAAAAGTTAAAATTGTTTGTGGTAGAAATTTTTGCGTTGAATCCAAAGTTGTACTAAGGGCAGTTTTAATTTTTTTTCTGAGCTAAACAGTTTATGTATTAAGTGATAATTAAAAAAGTGTTGATTTATTTCCTTTTCAGGATATTTCAGGAACCAAGTCGGGCACCTAAATTTTGAAAACGCTAATGAATAGGCAATCGAATTCTGCCCAATTTTGCCCATTTAACGGATTCTCTATCTTTAAAAATGTAAAAGTTACTCATACAAAGATTCAGAAAATGGCCACCCTATATTTTTATAGTTCAATTTGTTTCTTCTTTGATTGGCTGAACGAAATGTTTGGTACTATTAACATGTCGGTTTAAAGTTTTTTTCATTTTAAATGTTTTGTTGCAAATATGGCATTGAAAAGGCCGTTTGTCCGAATGCGATACCAAATGCATACGCAATCTATCGGCAGAATAGAAAATTTTAATACACATCTTACACTTGAACTCTCTTTCTTTCGTATGCTTGTTACGATGAATGTTTAAGTAGTCTTTTGACTTAAATGTTGAATTGCAAAACTCGCATTGAAATGGCCGTTGATCCGAGTGAGACTTCAAATGATAGTTGAAATTATTTAGATATAAATACGTTTTATTACAAATTGTACAGCTGTATTGCTTTTCTTTTGTATGTTTGTTTCGGTGAACATATAATTCACCTGATCTTTTGAATAACGCATTGCATATATCGCACTGAAAAGGGCGGTTATCTGAATGACTTTTCATATGATCATTTAATTTAGAGTTTCTACCAAATGCTTTATTGCAAATCTTGCACATGTGTTGGTTTCCTTTAGTATGAATATTTCGATGCTCAGTTAGGTCAGACTTTAGCTTAGATTTAAAATCGCAAAAATCGCATTCATAAAGAAGCGTGTCTGAATGCGTTTTCAAATGGTCATCTAAATTTGAAATTAACAAAGTTGTAGCACAAATCTGACAAGTGTACTGTTCATTTTTCGTGTGTCTCTTTTGATGAATCTGTAGGAACCTTTTTTGCTTATACTTTAAACCGCAAATATTGCATTGGAAAGGCCCACGGTCTGCATGGCACTTTTTTAAATGAATATTTAACTTTGATTCATTCATAAAGGATATCGAGCAAATATTACAGTTATGTTGATTTATTTCAGCAGCCTTCGCAGCTTGTTTAGATGTGTTTTCACTGCTACGTGGATCACTACTAGCTTCGTCTTCAATTTTTATCAGCACGGATAAGTCTTGTTCTTCAATTGTAATTTCTTCCTTTACTGGCATATAAAAGCCCGGTGTCATATGAAATGAATATCTATAAAGCAAATTACATAATTAGCAGAAAATATTTAAAACTTCATTCTGAACTTTAGCTAATCTACAATTATTTAAGGAGCAAACATTTATTGTTCTAATGTTTCAATCTTTACATACTTGAATAATAATAAAACACAATTAAAAATATCGAAAACTATTTTATGTCTTTTCCTCAGTAAATCATATACTGTAATTTGCTATAGATAATTCTAATATAATTAAAAATAAACGTCTCAAGATCGAGAAATAATTAGAAACGACAGTACAACCAGCACAGAATGTAGGCGTTGAAAAAGCACGGAACGCTTTAAAAACCAAAATACCAAAGATGCGAGAAGAAGACATGAGAAAACGCAAATGCAAAATAAACTGAATAAAACAATTAGGAAAAAGTGCAGAGAAACTATAAGAAAATTGGATGTCAACAAAATGCCGGGAAATTGAACCATTTCAGGCAAGATATGCCACTTTTAATGTTCGCAAGAGAGTAAAAGAAATGACAGGCGGACACAAAAAGCGGCAAGAAAGAACTTTAAGAAACGATAATAAGAAAATAATGCCAGGGACAGAAAACAAACTGGCGAGATGGAAATAATTCATCGAAACACTTTAAAACGCAAATAAGACTCAGATAATGCTTTGTCCCTGTCTTCTCTACCGGTACGAAAGCGGAAAATAGACTCACAAACAGAGAACATAATATAAGCTTATTTTCACTTCTTATTTTTTTTTTGATAAATTCGACTTTTTTTAGGCTGCTTGTTCGAAATGCCTGGCACGAGCATGTCGCCGTAATGAATCTTTAATTTTAAATGTTTTGTCGCAAAAATCGCATTGAAAAGGCCGTTTGTCCGAATGCGTAACCAAATGTCTACTCAATTTTCCCACAAAATAGAAAATTTTATTACATATCTCACACTTGTACTCTTTTTCTTTCGTATGCTTGTTTAGATGAATGTTTAAGTACTTCTTTGTTTTAAATGTTGAATTGCAAAACTTGCATTGAAATGGCCGTTGATCTGAGTGAGAGTTCAAATGATATCTGAAATTCCTTAGAAATAAAAACGTTTTATTACATATTTCACAGCTGTACTGTTTTTCTTTTGTATGTGTGTTTCGATGAGCGTTTAAGTTGCCTTTTGATTTAAATGTTGAATTGCAAAACTCGCATTGATGTTTCCGTTGATCTGAGTGAGAATCCAAATGCTCTTTTAAACTGTGTGGATGTAGAAACGTTAGATTACAAATCTTACATCTGTACTGTTTTTCTTTTGCATGATTATTTCGGTGAACAGTTAAATTACTTTTTCTTTTGAAATCCGAATTGCAAATATTACATTTAAAAGGACCTTTATCTGAGTGAGTTGTCAAATGAGAATCTAATTGTGCTTTTATAGGAAATGTTTTGTAACAGATATTGCACGTGTATTGATTTGCATTAGCATGAATATTTCGATGTTCAGTTAGGTCAGACTTTAGCTTGCATTTAAAATCGCAAAAATCACATGCATAAAAGAGAGTGTCTGAATGCGTTTTCAAATGGTCCTCTAAATTAGAATACAACAAAGTTTTACTACAAATCTGACAAGTGTACTGTTCATTTTTCGTATGTTTCTTTTGATGAATCTGCAGGTACCTTTTTTGCTTACACATTAAACCGCAAATATTGCATTGGAAAGGCCCACCTTCTGCATGACACTCATTTAAATGACTATTTAAATTTGACTTATTTATAAAACATCTCGAGCAAATATTACAGGAGTGTTGATTTATTTGAGCAGCATTCACAGCTGGTTCATATGTAGTTTCACTGCTTCTTCGATCACTACTGGCTTCCTCTTCCATTTTTACCAGCGCAGGTAAGTCTTGCTCTTCAATCGTAATTTCTTCCTTTACTTGAATATAAAAGTCCGCCTTCATACCAACTGAATATCTAAAAATCAAATTACATAATTAGCGAAAAATATTCTTCAGAAGACTTCATTCTGAACTTATCAGCGCATCTTTAGCTAATTGAATAATAATAAAACACCAGCTTATATTTCACAATAGTTTATTCATTCAAAACATCGAAAATATTCACATAGTGAATCACATACTTTATTGAACTATAGATATTATAATATAATTAAATCTAAATGCCCGATAAGAAAATAAACGTCTTAAGATCGAGAAAGAATTAGAAACTACAATGCAACCAGCACAGAATGTAGACGATGACAAAACATGGAATGCTTTAAAAATTAAAATACCAAAGATGCAAGACGAAAACATTAGAAAACGCAAATTGAACCATTTCAGGCAAGAGACGAGAGCAAAAGAAATGACAGGTGGACACAAAAAGCGACAAGAAACAATTTTAAGAAAAAATAATAACGAAATAAAGCCAGGGACAGGAAACAAACTTGCGAGATGGAAATAATTCCTCCAAACACTTTTCGACGACAATAGACCTTGTGATCGACCACCCCCAGACAATGAGATCAATGAAAAAGGACAAGAAATAACCAAAGAATAAGTTACTCATGCAATAAAGACACAAAAAAATGGAAAATCTGGCGGTCCTGACGAAATCATCGTCAAAATGCTTAAATTAATCGCTGAAAACGAAAGCTAATGCCTAGACGTAATACGCTACTATTCAATACGATATACCGTGTGAGTGTCTATGTTGTTTAGATTATTATGTTTCTTAGATTAAGCTGAAAAAATGTAGCGTTTTCAGTTGCGGTACAGATGTAGAACATTATGAGTTTATCAGACTATGAAGGCTTTCACGGCCGGTCAAATTACATTTAGGAATGTTTTCCGGGCTTTGAAGCCGTGGTCTATCGGAATTTCTTCCTGACGTTTCGTCCACAACTGCGGTGGACATTTTCAAAGGCGATGAGGCAGTGGGCGAAGTGATCTCCCGTGCTTTCCGACTAAAACTGTTATCAGTAACTGTAAACAGTTTTAGTCTTTAGTTTTGTGGACGAAACGTCAGGAAGAAATTCCGATAGACCACGGCTTCAAAGCCCGGAAAACATTCCTAAATGTATTATGAGTTTAATTATGTAGGGTTCTCATTTCTAACTGCAGATGTTGCTAATAGGGGTCATTCTCTATATTTAGAGAAACATTAGACATACCGGAAAAAAAACATCAGCCCTAAGCATGATGATGTGTTTTCTCTGTCTTGTCCACTGGTGCGAAAGCTAAACAATGGACACGAAAACAGAGAAAATAATAGAGGCTTATTTTAACTTCTTAGTTTATTTTTTTGATAAAATCGGCTATTCTTAAACTGGTTGTTCAAAATGTACGGCACGAGCATGTCGCCGTAATGAATCTCTAATTTTAAATGTTTTGTTGCAAATATCGCATTTAAACGGCTGTTTGTCTGAATGCGATGCTGTATGTGTGCGCAATCTATTTGCAGAATAGTAAGTTTTAGCGCATATCTTACACTTGTACTCTTTTTCTTCGGTATGCTTATTTCGATGAACGCTTAAGTGGCTTTTTGTTTTAAATGTTGAATTGCAATAGTCGCATTGAAATGGCCGTTGATCTGAGTGACAGCGTAAATGCTTTTGTATACTGTTTGGATATAAAAACTTTTTATTACAAATTTTACAGCTGTACTGTTTTTCTTTTGTATGTTTATTTCGATGAACATTTAAATCGCTTTTCCTTTTGAAATCCAAATTGCAAATATTGCATCGAAAAGGGCGTTGGTCTGAATGAACTTTCAAATGAAAATCTAATTTTGATTTTAAAGCAAATGTTTTATCACAAATACTGCACGTGTGTTGGTTTGCATTAATATGAATGGTTCGATGCTCAGTAAGGTCAGACTTCAACTTGCATTTAAAATCGCAAAAATCACATGCATAAAGGAGAGTGTTCGAATGAGTTTTCAAATGGTCATCTAAATTTGAAAACAACAAAGTTTTAGCACAAATTTGACAGTTATACTGTTCCTTTTTTGGGTGTTTCTTCTGGTGAATTGTTAAGTACCTTATTTGCTTATACTTTAAGCCGCAAATATCGCATTGAAAAGGCCGGTCTTTTGAATGTGTGACCAAATGAATTTTCAGGTTTGATTTATTTACAAACGATGTCGCGCAAATGTTACAGTTATACTGATTTACTTGTGCAGTCTTCGCAGTGTGCTCAGTTACAGTCTCAGTTTCACTCATATTGCTAATGGTTTCCTCTTCAACTTTTACCAACACACACATATTTTCCTCTTCGATTGTAATTTCTTCCTTCACATTAATGTAAAAGTCTGAGTTCAAATCAACGTGGGATCTAAAAAAAAACCACAATCAGTAAAAACATTTATAATTTTATATTGACCAAAATAGGATAACAAATTAAGAGAACATTTTTCTCTGGGCTGCTCATGTTTTAACATTCTAATAGGGGTTAACTTGATGTTATTTAGCAATTAGTTCATAAACGCTGAACAGTAAGGAAGCTATTCCTGTCGGATTTTTGACGGGGCAATAAAAGACATTTAAAATTAAAATACGTAATTTGTCTGTATGCATGTGTTTGTTTACTTTATTACTGGCGTTAGGAATATGTTTATACGTAAACTTGCCTTCAGAATAGCAATGCTATTTTTATTTAAAAAAAACACGTTAATAAAATAAATGAGTGTTTATTGATGGACATTTTACAGTCTGTATGTCGTAATCACATTTGAATATATAGTAACTGGAATCTAAGTGGAATACAAACGCTTTTATCACTCGAAGTCTTATTTGGGGATTTTTATATAAATTGCGTATCTCTTTTCAATTATATGGATATAAAAATCTTTTATTAAAAATCTTATAGCTATACTGTTTTTCTTTTGTATGTTTGTCTTCTCTGCTGGTGCAAAAGCTAAACAATGGACTCATAAACAGGGAAAAGAATAGAGGCTTATTTGTTGTTCAAAATGTCCGGCACGAGCATGCTTACTCTGTGGTACCTACAGCTGTTGCAACATGAGCAACTTGTTTACAAATAATTATATTCTTATAGATTTGGAAGAAGTTACCGCTCAAAATCAGGAATCCAGTTCTAATGATCAGGAAAACTACATAAATACAACATATGATGGTTAAGACCAATTTTACAGTCTGCTTGTCGTAATTATATTTGAATATTTAGTAAGTGTTCGAATGCGATACCTACCAAATGTGTACGCAACTTATCCGCAACATAAAAACTTTTATTACATATTTTACATTTCTAGTTTTTTTCCTTCGTAAGCTTATTTTGATGCCGTTTTAAGCTCGACTTGGAGCTAAATTTTGAGTTGCAATGCTCGCATTGAAAACAGCGTTGACCTGAGTGAGAGTTCAAATGATAATTTAAATTCGATAGATATAAATAGGTTTTATTACAAATTTTACATCGGTACTGTTTTTTTTTGTATGTTTATTACGGTGAACATCTAAACTACTTTTTCTCTTGAAAAATACATTGCAAATCTCACATTGAAAAGGCCGTTTGTCTGAATGGATAACCAAATGTGTGCTCAATTTTCCCGCATCATAGAAAATTTTATTACAAATGTTACACTTGTACTCTTTTTCTTCCGTATGCTTATTTCGATGAACGTTTAAGTGGCCTTTTGTCTTAAATGTTGAATTGCAATAGTCGCATTGAAATGGCCGTTCGTCTGAGTGAGAGCTCAAATGCTTTTGTATACTGTTTGGATATAAAAACTTTTTATTACAAATTTTACAGCTGTACTGCTTTTCTTTTGTATGTTTGTTTCGGTGAGCATTTAAGTCATTTTTTCTTTTAAAATCCAAATTGCAAAAAGTGCATTTAAAAGGGCGTTTGTCTGAATGAGTTATCAAATGAGAATCTAATTGTCCTTTTGTAGGAAATGTTTGCTCACAAATATTGCACGGGTATTGATTTGCTTCAGTATGAACACTCATATGCTTAGTTAGGTACCATTTTTCCTTAAACTTAAAACCGCAAATAATGCATTGGAAAAGCTCATCTTCTGCATGACACTCATTTAAATGAATACTTAACTTTGAGTTATTTATAAAACTTATCGAGCAAATGTTACAGTGACGTTGATTTATTTCAGCAGCATTCACAGCTTGTTCATATGTAGTTTCACTGCTACTTAGATCACCACTGGCGTCGTCTTCAATTTTTACCAGCCCATAAAAGTCTTCTTCATCAATTGTAATTTCTTCCTTTACTTGCATACAAAAGTCCGGAGTCATATCAATTGAATATCTAAAAAGCAAATTACATAATTAGCGAAAAATATTCTTCAGAAGACTTCAGTCTGAACTTAATAGCACAACCTTAGGTAATCTGTTATTAATTAAGGATCAAACATTTCTTCAGGTTCTAATGTTTCAACATTTACATAATTGAATAATAAAACACCAGCTTATATTTCGCAATAGTTTTATTAATTCAAAACATCGAAAATAATTTTATGTTTATTCCTGAATAAATCACAGACTTTAACTTACCATAGATGTATAATTAAATCAAAAAGGAACCTAATTCAAGTAACTGTAAACGTTATTAAAAATCCTGAAAGAAATTGGAGTTATCTCCAAGTCGCCC